TGTCTGTCTGTCTGTCTGTCTATCTATCTATCTGTCTTATCTGTCTGTCTGTCTGTCTGTCTATCTATCTATCTTGTCCGTCTGTCTGTCTATCTTGTCTGTCTATCTATCTGGTCATGTGCTTATTATAAGTAGATTAAATTGTTTAGGTTCATCTTTTTTGATTTAGGTCTCTTTAGTACAAGGTTGACAAAAGCTTAAATAGAGCTTAAGGCTTTTTAAGGGGGGAAAAAACACTGTCATGCTGCATGGTAGATGGTGTCTGAACAAACACATATCATACTCACAAAGGCTATTTTGCTGCTTTTTTTTGTTTCTGATAACATCTTTAGTTGTGCACATCCTCTGCTGCCGCATTCTAATGAAGAAAGAAATTAAACCAAGTATATACAGCATGAGCTCATATTTGTAGAGTGAAACTGGATTTCCCTGAAAAAAAGTTAAGGGAACTTTCTCACATGATCACAAAAAAGGTTAAGTCTTCATGTAAACATCCTCTTTCTAAGTTTAATGGCTGGAGGACTCCTTCAAAAAAGACATATATAGGAGAATAAATCACAAGGGTTCATAACTTTCGTCAGAAATTCCCTGATTTAAGACAATTTAAGGGTGATAAATAGTGTCCAAACTTACAACGTGAACACTTTTCAATGTATTTAAAAATACTCAAATATCCCAAACATCAAAGAAAGCAATCCTGCATTAAATCTAATTTCAAAAATATTTATATGAAGTATACATTTATTAAAATGAATGTTAGAACGTATCTTAGATATTTTCCCGACTCTTTACAATCCAATTAACTGACAGACTGATACTAGTGTAGTTCTGGATTGTTGTCTTCAATCTACCTGATCACTCACTGCCACCTTGTGGTCATAACTGAGGATTTCTTATTGAGGTTGTGATTTATGGCAAAAGTGTAGAATGAGGTAGGTTTACACAAGCAGAGTCGGGAGCAGCAATAAAGGATTAAAGAGAGGAGATCAGGTGGAGGGAATTTTATTTTACTTTTTAAAATATTTTCTTTTAAAAACAATTGGTATGGTTCTCAAAAGCCTTCAAGAATAAATGTCCTCAGATAATACTTTATAAAACAAAAAAATACATATTCAAATAATACATTTAAAAATGAAGCTTTGAAAATTATAGCCTACTTAATTTCCAGACGTTCCAGGAAAGTTTTGAGGGCTTATGATTTTGTTGTTTAGCAAATAAGTAAGTGAATGAATACACACAAACAGGTAATATACTGGCTTTGTCGTGTGTAACAAAAACAGAACATGGAGGATAAACACGTTTGTGTTTAAACATAAGCTTATTCCCCGGACTTCGCTCAGAAATGGCTAATAACAACCAGTGAATCACTTGTGTGATATAATGCTGACATATGTGGTGAAACTGCATTTTAAAACACAATCTTGGAAAGCTGTGTTGCAAACACCACTTGAGATTCAGGAATTATTTTTGTTTTTTAGTGAACATTATTTTATTTTATTATTTTAGTGAACATTATTTTTATATAATTTTTTTGTCATACCAAATGTTTAGGGGTGTGGCCAATTTTATATTTTTAAGGCACAAAGGGTACAAGTAGGCCTGGAACTTTTTAAATCATTTTTATTAATTTATATATTAATAAACATATATTTTAAATGATTATTATCTTTGTTGTTTGTCACGAATCCGGTCTATGAACTTCAATTCACTCACCACCAGAGGTCACCCTTCCATTACATTGACTCTCGCACTACACAAATTGTTGCATGTCATCCCGGACTACATATCCCATCATCCATTGCACCGATTGCACACAGCATTGATTGCACACAGCTGTAACCAATCACACCTTCACTATATAACACTCACTCAGATCCCTTTCAAACTGCCGAGTATTGTATGCGCATATTGCTAGTTACATTATGGAGCCTGCATTAAGTTGCCTAGCCTAGCCTAGCCTAGCCTAGCCTAGCCTAGCCTAGCCTAGCCTGTTTCCTCGTCTTCTGATCATTGCCTGTGTACTTTGGATTACCTCTCTCGTCTTGCCCTATTCGGATACTGTTTGCCCCTGCCTGGACCTTTGCTTTGTACCTGGATCATTTCTCTAGTCTCGCCCTGTTGGATTACGTTCATCTTCGACTGACCCTCACTTGTTTACCGTACTACCCTTGCCTTGTCTTCTACATACCAGTTTGCCTATGCCTGTTTATGACCACGTCTTAGTAAAAGCTTTGCACATGGATCCGCACGTCTCATGTTCTGGTTTCTCCGTAACATTTGTGACTTTTTTTATTTGTCTTAACAAAATGTCAAAAAACTAAATCAAAAATCACCAAAATCTCTGTGCCGACCTGAATCAAATGATTCGCAATACGTGCTCCGAAGTCAGATTTGCGAACCAGCTCCGAAATCAATATAGGCCTACAACAAATGATTCGCTATATGCACTCCGAAGCTCTGATCTGAATCAAAAGATTAAACCGCTCTGAACTTCCAATCTAAATCAAATGATTTGCAATTCGCCTTATTCCGATCTGACTATTATTGCTTCGCGAACCATCATTTCAGATCGGGACTTCGGAGCGCGTATCACGAATCTTTCAATTTACTAAATGATTCAGAAACCAGCTCCAAAGTTACGATATAAACCAGAAGATTTGCGAACCCGCTCCGAAGTTCTGATTGAATTCAAATGATTCGCTAACCCGCTCTGAATTCGTTCTAAATCAAATGATTTTCGATCTGGGCTCCAAAGTTCCAATTTGAATCAAAAGATTCAACCGCTCCGAAGTTCCGATCTAAATCAAATGACCCGCGCTCCTTAGTCCCGATCTGAATAATGATTCGCTAACCATCATTTAAGATCGGGACTTCGAAGCACATATCACTAATCTTTCAATACGCAAAATAAAGCGAACCCGCTTTGAAGTTCTGATCTAAATCAAATGATTCGCAATAGCGCTCCGAAGTCCCGATCGGAATTAAATGATTTGCGATACGAGATCCGATTGAATCATTTTGGGATGGAATGGTTCAACTGATTCGGAGTTTCGAAAAGCTCCGTTTCACCCATCACTAGGCCTACGTGCTTTTTAAAACCATTACAAGCTATGTAGAAATCTGGTATTTGGTAGTGAATGGAGTTTGAGTTTGAAGCAGTTGCAGCAACCCTACTGTTGCTATACGAACACGACCTTGCACGTGCATCTGACTGACAGATAGGCTAAACCACACTCTCTTATTTTAGTGTTGTTAATATGAATTAATTAATATTAACAACGGTTTCTAGCGTATTTACTTATCAGGTAATATCAGTGGTATGGGTATGACCTTTGTCAGATGCGGTCGAATTACAACAACAGTGGTTACATATAGGCTACATATATTAAAATTTTTAATCAAAATTATTACTAGGGACAATTTAGTAGGACAAGGGACATAACCCTAGTGTCAATTCTACGCCCTTGTAATAGGACATGAAGATCTACAGCGGGGAGTCACTTTTTTGCTGCTCACATTTTATGACAGTCATCGAGCAAAGTTCATTTATAAGTGACCTGTCATCTTCCGCTGCAACAGGTGAGGGCTGAGGCTCGACTTTCCAACTTCTTTAGACGTCCTCGCACTTCTCCACAGTCCTGAAAGAGCTTTAACCATGGCCACAAACGTCCAAGAAAACATATATGAACAAATAGAAGAGACAAATGAAAACATATATGAAAAGCCATATGAGAACATAAACAACAACCCAGAGCCGAAATATGAGAATCAAGGCGAGAGTAAGGAAATTCCAGAGGAACCGCTGTACAGCACGGTCAATCAACCGTCTCCAGACTATATAAATACGAGAGGAACATCTCAAGAGGAAGAAGAACAGCCTTCACCATCCAGTGAACCAGGAGAGCAGCTCGAAAGCGAGATCATGGTGGCCTCTCTGCCAAATGGAGATTTTTACGGATCTTCATCTTTAGAGGAAACTGGAGACCCTTGTGATGACCAGCCCTCATTGGTCTACGAAGACCTGCTCATGGCTTACAGTCTCCCAGAAGACAGATCTCCAGAACCTGAGGAGGTAGTTGACTACAGCCTGAAGGACGTGGAGAACAGCGCCGTGGAAGAGCCAGCTGCAGTTCCCGACCCGAATCAGCCTAATATTGCGCTTTTTGTCAAGGTAAGGAATGTGGGTTTATGGCGTCTGCATAAAATAACCTGAACTTTTTATTTTATTTAGTTTTATTAAAGAAAGAAGGCTTTAAAGTTGGCATTACGTGAGTCTGAAGGTCAGTTGGGTGTGGTTTGTAACAGCATTCATATTTCTGCCCACCTTTGGCCCTTGAAGACAATGTGAAGACAACCTGACACGGTCAATTTTTTTTTAACACTGAATCCCTATTTTTCCTAAATTATACTCAAATGTTATTTAATTTCTGCAGGTAAAATCAGGTGTTTAAAACATAGCAATTTGTTTCTTTTTTATGCTAAATTAAATAAAATGTATACAGCCTATTTATAAAAATTTGCAACAAATTTATTTACATTTGATTTAATTTAACTTTGTTATTAATTTGATATGAAAATATTAACAATTGAGTATTTTTAAATCAAATTCTAAATCAATTGTATTTTTAATTTTTATTAATTTTTTAAAGATACACAAATTTAGTATTAAAGGGGTCATATGACGTTGCTAAAAAGAACATTGTTTTGTGTATTTGGTGTAATGCAATATGTTTATTCGGTTTAAGGTTAAAAAAACACATTTTCTACATACTGTACATTATTGTTTCTCCTCTATGCCCCGCCTTTCTGAAACGCGTCGATTTTTACAAAGCTCATCGTTCTGAAAAGCGAGGTGTGCTGTGATTGGCCAGCTATCCAGTGCGTTGTGATTGGCCGAAATTCCTCAAGCGTGTAACGGAAATGTTATGCCACTTACCATACTGTGATACCGTGTCCGGGTGCGCCGCGCGACGAGACAAAAACAATCAAACCCATTATAAACGAGGCATTTGTTGCATCCAGTGGGGACATAATTACTGATTATAATGACTTATACTGTCTTTTGCGTTTTGTGCTGCGTTTCGCGCCGCATAAACATAAAACCATATCTGCATTTGTGATCGGAGAAACGACAAACAACAAGCGCTACTCTACACTGCTCAAAACTCGTGTTTGAATCGCCAGTGGCAAATTATTTAAATATGAAAACATACTTGCAGGCTGTGAGTCAGAACAGGCATTGTAGGCTACATTCAAGAATACAAAAAAAATAAAAATAAATCAGGTGGACTGGAATGCAGTTAAGTTTGAACAAAGAGGATGGATGTAAATATCCCAGACAGGTTGATGTAGCAGGTAGTTAATGATTCAACAGACAAATCTGTTAAGCACAATGGCCTAAAATGGACAGAAAAAGATTGGTATGATTCATTCCGTGACATTTTCCTCTTGATCATTAACTTCAATAAGGTTTTCAAAGGTTTGTGTGCTTGCTCACAGTCTTAGACATCCTGAACTGTTGCATTTCCTTTGGAAGGTTCACTGTGACAGGCAAAGTAAATAATCATTAACTTGGGGATCCGTACAGTCATAGAAACCAGGGTGAAGTCCTGACCTGAGTAAATCAACTCATGGCTACTCTTTGCTTTTGATAGTGGGACACTTTAGTCTGTGCACATGATCACAGACTGAGCAACCGTGACTTTTTCAGACTCAAGTTTATATCACATTCCATGACAAACGTGTCACACTAACAATGACATCAAGAAAAATAGTATTTTTATTGATTAGTATTTGAAAAATGGGATGCACTGACATAGATGCACCAGGTCGTGATACACCTTTTGCTCTTAAGAAACCTTCAGAACAATTCAAACATTACATAACTACTTTATGGCCACATATAGTCATAAAAAAGCAGGAATAAAGTAGTATAAGTTGTTGTTGAGTGGCACAATGCAAGGCTGCTTTTATTACAAAACCTACAAGAGAACTCGCATAAATTATTGCAAACAAAAATCCATTACAGCATTTGTCAAGTAAATGCTGGCCTTGGTTAAGTATTTAATCTTATTGGCTACGCATAAAGGCAGACGATTATGATCGAAGTTTACATAGCCACCTTTACTAAATGTTACAGATGTTGGTGGTTGTTTATATCACATTCCATGACAAACGTGTCACACATCAAGAAAAATAGTATTTTTATTGATTAATATTTGAAAAATGGGATGCACTGACATAGATGCACCAGGTCGTGATACACCTTTTGCTCTTAAGAAACCTTCAGAACAATTCAAACATTACATAACTACTTTATGGCCACATATAGTCATAAAAAAGCAGGAATAAAGTAGTATAAGTTGTTGTTGAGTGGCACAATGCAAGGCTGCTTTTATTACAAAACCTACAAGAGAACTCGCATAAATTATTGCAAACAAAAATCCATTACAGCATTTGTCAAGTAAATGCTGGCCTTGGTTAAGTATTTAATCTTATTGGCTACGCATAAAGGCAGACGATTATGATCGAAGTTTACATAGCCACCTTTACTAAATGTTACAGATGTTGGTGGTTACTGATTAGATTAAATATTGACATTTTAAAATGCACAATTACTTACATTTATAGTATGCAATAGTTTTAACTATTTTTACAAAAAGAACAGTATTTAAAAATATATATATATTTAAAATTTAAATCTATTTATTCAGGAGCAAAAGATTCTGATTTGACATTAGTGGCCATTTATGGCTCTTAGATGTCAAGCACCATCATCAATGTGATAATCAGATAGAGGTAATCAGATCGTCCCACACAACTGCTACATTGATTATAAGAACCATCAGGCTGTAAATATTCCTAAAGTGTGACCTTGAACATTTAAAATACATATTTTAACTTTAGCTCAGCCAAAACATCAGGCAAATGTGCACGATGCAGAAGTTAATTATTTACTGCAGTGATTATATTTAACCTGTTGGGAACTGAGCCATGAAAAGAAAAAAAAGTTTGAGACTCTGTCTACTGAGAATGTTTAGTTGGAGTACAATCTGAATATCCTCATCCAGTGGCATTATTTAACTCATATTCCAACTCATCTGAGGTGAAAGGCGATCTTCTGTTGCACTCGGACTCATCATCAGTGATGTAACCAGCGGTCAGGCTGTTTGAATCACTGAGGAAATCTCCTTTTCCACTTGTAAATGAATAAAATGCATGCATATGTATGTCTGTATACTTTGTCAAAAGTATAAGTCTAAAGTTAATTCAAGTCTAAAAGGGGCATGTTTTTTTAAAGAATAGAATTAGAATAGAGAGTGCTAGATTTAGAGGGTCAAATAAAGATGGAAGAGATGTGTTTTTAGCCGATTCTTGAAGATGGCTAAGGACTCAGCTGCTCGGATTGAGATAGGCAGGTCATTCCACCAGGAGGGAACATTTAATGTAAAGGTCCGTGAAAGTGATTTTGTGCCTCTTTGGGATGAACAATAAAGCGCCATTCACTTGCAGAACGCAAGCTTCTAGAGGGCACATAAGTCTGAAGTAATGAATTTAGGTAAAGGGGTGCAGAGCCAGTGGTGGTTTTGTAGGCAAACATTAATGCCTTGAATTTTATGCGAGCAGCTATCGGTAGCCAGTGCAAATTGATAAACAGAGGTGTGAAGTGCATTCTTTTCAGCTCGTTAAAAAATTATCTTGCTGCCACGTTCTGGATTAATTGTAAAGGTTTGATAGAACTGGCTGGAAGACCTGACAAGAGAGCACTGCAATAGTCCAGCCTGGACAGAACAAGAGCTTGAACAAGGAGTTGTGAAGCATGTTCTGAAAGAAAGGGCCTGATCTGACACAGTTACACACAGTAATAGTGGTTTACTTGAGTATTCACATATCATTTTCACTCATATCTAGGATAGTCAGCTCTATTTTGGGAAGCCAAATGAGTAATCTTCATTTCACAGGTTCAGATCAGTCACGTCCGAAAACTTTGAATGCAAATTCACGCTATAAACCAAAGCCAGCTCATAAAATATTTAGCAGGGAATCTTATTCTCCTGGGCTCCACAAGATGATCAAATATAACCTGCCGTTGCCTGCCAGCATGCTGCCTGTGACTTGGACCGCATTAAAATTGCATGCGGCTCATTCCTCTACTCAGAGTTTCTGGGCCATGAACATGTCACATATAGTTACACATGGACAGGATGGGGCAGGAGTTTAGTAGCATAGACTCTAAACAATGAGCTTATATACACATCTCTGTCTTTTGGATGTGAAATTATACATGCAGTATATACTGTATATATAATCAAGTGCCTATTTTAAAACATGAACCTTCATAGATGGTTTCAATGTCATCTCTCAACATCACAGTTACAGTTCTAGATTATTCTCATCTGTCACTCAAGCTCATTAGAGCTATTTGTGGCAGGGGCGGGGCAAAGTAAGCTCCGCCCCCAACTAAAGCCTCTCACCTATTCCCTCTCTTTTACATCACCCATGTTTGGGAGAGAGCTAGATTCACCTTTCATCTTGGCTCGAGCTGACATCACAACACCTGGTGCCATTGGCTGCCCGTCAAGAGCAGAACAAACAGAATCTAAGAGAGCGTGTGGCTAAACACTGACATTTAACCCAAAATATCTGCAAAATACTGCTGGGAGGATGTAGGTGATAGATCAGGACAGATACCTGAATCAAAGAAAGTGTCTACAATGGGAGACGGCCAAGAACCTGATATTGAGTTGTTTGTCAAGGTAAGGAGAGAAATCTAAAATTAGAGTGAGCTTTATGGAGTTATGAGGTTCTTATAAAGTCAGTGTAACTAGAGTAACGTGTGCATATTGGACTAAGATCATGACCAGGTTGTTAGTAGAATAATGTATGATTGCCTTATGTTGTTCTTGCACAGTGGTTATAGATTTTCGGTTATGTATAAAGGTGGTGTTAAAATAATATTCCCTCCTTCTCATTCTGATGTTTTTGTTAGAAATGCATTAAAATAAAAATCTGACCCATAACTATAAGATTAAGTAATTATATTTATATAAATAAAAATAAAAATATGAAATGGCTGAAAATTAACGCTTTTTGTCTAAATGAAACTAAAGAATATTTAAAAAATATTTTATACTAATTACAAATACACTGACAAATAAAATCAGTCATTTT